GTGGGTTTTCACATGAACGCAGCCCATGCGTGGGTTTTCACATGAACGCAGCCCATGCGTGGGTTTTCACATGAACGTAGCCCATGCGTGGGTTTTCACGTGAACGCAATCCATGCGTGAGTTTTCACGTGAACGCAATCCATGCGTGAGTTTTCACGTGAACGCAATCCATGCGTGAGTTTTCACGTGAACGCAATCCATGCGTGAGTTTTCTCCGGGCGCCCCGGTTCCCTCCCACATATAAACTCTCCCATGAATTGGCCGATACCGCATTAACATATAGAGGACCACAGAGCTTGGGCAATGATTGGTAGGCGCGGGCCCACCGCGTGGCTGCTGCTGCCCCCTACTCCGCTCGTCCGTGGCTCCTCCTCTCTATTCGAGAGCGAGCGAGCACTGTTCGGCGGCGAAGCAAGTTGAAATGATTATCACATAACTGTGAAACCTAAAACTCTTCAGAATGTTACGCTCGCGCATGCACAAATACAGGTACGGAATGCGTGTATGCGCGTGTGTGTGTGTGAACACGTATTCCTGTACCAACAACAACACAACAACAACCGCCATTCGCCACTAAGTGGCGGTGACGTCACCACGACGCTTGTGCCAGGCTATGTGCACCCTGAGGCCACGTGAAGTGTCGAACGCCCGCTGGCAGGAGGTCACGGGGCAGACCCAGGTGCCACGGGTCGACTGACTGAGATGACTGGCTGATGCACCACCTGTGCCCCCTACTGTGCCAACCTGCTGTGCTTTAGCCACCCGGCGCTCCGCTCGCTGTTGTGAGCGTCGCTCCTCCGCCCTCCGTTGTTGTTGGAGGGCGACTGCCTCCAACTGCCCAGTAGCATCCTTCACGAGCCTCCTCCACAGAGGCCGATCTTGACACCGCTGGTACCAGTCATCGGCAAGTCCACTCAGCTCCACGTCCTCCTGTACCACATCACTCCATCTCTTCTCTAGCCCGTGCCGCGCCCGCTTAGCCCCCTCAATCCGGCCAAACAAAAGCTGTTTCGGCATGCGGTGGCTGGGCATGCGGGCTACATGACCCAGCCATCGCAGCCTTGCCTGCCGGAGGAGCTCACCGATGGGACCCTGCCCAGATCTTTCAAGGATTTGTGAGCTCCTCACACAATCCAGTCTGGTTAAACCCAGGATGGATCGTAGGCAGGCCAGCCTAAATGTTTCTAACCGGCGAAGATGTTCCATTAGGGGGGTCCACGTTTCGCAAGCATAGAGAAGGGAGGGAATGACCGTGGCCGAGAAGACCTGAAGCTTAGTGCGGAGCGACAGACCAGGTAGCTTCCACACAGCGTTACGCAACCGATGAAAAGATATTGCCGCTCGACTGATTCGGAGTGAGACCTCTGCTGTTAAACTGGAGCCAGTCATAAGCACACTGCCCAGGTATGGGAAACTCTCCACTCTCTCCACAACTGCCCCATCACCGATTGGGAGTTGTGGGGGTGGAGTGTCCGATGGTACAAAATACCCAGGCAGGTGCTTAGTTTTGGTGGGGCTGATGGTAAGGCCCCACCTCTTAGTGGCATGCTCCAGTCTCAGCAGCAGCGTCTCCAACTCCTCCTCTGACTGAGCAGCTATTACCAAGTCATCAGCATACATAACGTGGTTGAGCAATAGGGAGCCATCCCTTGACCGCACCCGGGCATCGATTAGCCTCCCATTATATCTGTACCATATGGAGATTCCCCCGGTACAGCTATTGAAGGCTTCACGAACTACGTGGTCAAAATAGATGTTAAATAATGTGGGAGCCAAAGGACATCCCTGTCGCACCCCAAGGTGTACAGGGAATGGCTCTGACTCCCGGCCACGTAGTTTTACCCGGGCCCGCTCACCATCATGAAGGTCCTTAATGATCGTGAGCAGAGGGTCAGGTACTCCAAAAGCACGAAGAACGACCCAGAGCCCAGGCCTACTGATGGTATCATAGGCCTTGACCAGGTCAATAAAGCAGAGATGTAGGTCTTGTTGGAATTCCCTATACCTCTGCTGTAGCAGACGGACAGAAAATATGGCATCTGTGCAGGACCGCCCTTTCCTGAAACCGCATTGGGGCTCCGCAAGCCTCTCCTCAGCGTGCCTGGCAAGGCGATGCTGAATAATCCTTGCCAGGACCTTTCCCGGCACACTGAGGAGTGAGATGCCCCTGTAGTTGTTACAGTCTGTGCGGTCCCCCTTCTTAAAAAGGGGGACCACCAGGGCATCCTTCCAATCCTGCGGAACCCGTCCAGTGGTCCAGACTGTTGTTATGATGTCATATAGGGCAGTCTGTGCACAAACGCCACCCTCCCTCAGCATTTCGCTTGGGAGATCATCTCTGCCCGCTGCCTTTCCTGGTCTCAGACTCCGGATCGCCTTCAATACTTCCTCAGCAGATGGCACCTCAGCCAGCCACTCACAGGGGGTGACTTCATCCAATATTTGAGGCACCGCAGCCTCAGCAGGGTCATCCTCACTTTGTGCCGCGATGTTTTCCTGGCTGAGGGATTTTCCCTCCCCCAGGACCTCACAGAAATGCTCAGCAAATCTGCGAACCTGTTCCTGGGGGTCGGAAATTGGATCACCGTTTTTTCCCCTAATGATGGTAATAGGTGTGGCGCTGCAGGTTACTTTTTTGATGGAGTTAAATAGAGATTTGTGATCACGGGCCACTGAGGCAGACTCCATCTCCTCAGCAACCCGCGACCACCACCCATCCTTGCAGAGCCTCACGGCTCTCCGAACCTCCGAGCGAAGGCTGCGGTAAGCCTCCTCATTCTCTGACGTGGGATTCTGTAGCCGATGACAGTGGGCCTGTCGCTTTTTCTCAACCATCCTGAACAACTCCTCTGTCATCCAGGGTGTCTGGGGAGGTCTGGACCGCGTACCCAAAGCAGCCATTGCAGCTGCATGAGTCACAGTCCTAAACCTCGCCCATTTACCCTCGACATCAGGAGGAGTCGGGGACGATGCCAATCCCAGCCGCAAGCGATGATGAAATTCTCGCTTGCAACTTTCATCAGATAACTGAGACCAGGCCACTTTAGGTTGGAATGGGGTCCTGGGTGTACACCCACCACCGGAGTGGAAGAATGGCAGGCGCATCTTACAGATGACTAGTCGATGGTCAGAGGGCAGATCAGCTCCACGGTAGGTCCTGGTGTCAAGGACATGGGCTCGCATTCGCTGGTCCGTCACTATGTAGTCCAGCAGATGTTCTTGCTTGGACCCGGCATGCATCCATGATGTTGTGTGGATGCGCCGATGCCGGAACAGCGTGTTGGTAATTACAAGCCCATGGGCTGCACAAAAATCTAGCAGCCTCCTACCGTTGTTATTGAGCTGATCTGGCCCATGCCCTCCAATCACTCCAGACCAGGTGCCAGTATCATGACCAACTCGGGCATTGAAGTCACCCAACATGATGACTCTATCCCGAGGGGCCACTTTAGCCAGCACCTGTGACAGGAGGTCATAGAAGGCATCTGACTCATCGGCTTTGCCTGCATCCCTCCACGGATGTTCATCTTCGGTGGGGGCATAAGTAACCACGACCACCATTCCTCGCCTCCGGTTGATGGGAAGGCGAGCCCAAAGTAGCCTGGGGCTTACAGCTTCCCACACCTCACCGCCACGCTCCCACGCCCCCTTCATTCTTTTGTTCAAAAAAAGACCCACACCCTGTTGTTTGGCAGTCTGCTGCCCCGAGTAGAGGACTGTCCACCCCTCATGGTGGCAGGAGCCAGAGCCGGTCCACCGGACCTCCTGAATGCCGCATAGATCCAGGCGGTACCGGTCCAGCTCCCGACAGAGGAGTGGCAGCCTCTCCTCTGCAGTGAGCGTTCGAACATTCCACGTGGCCAACCGTAGTGGCTTTTCGTTGTTTCTGGAGTAGCCCCGAGGGTAGGTATTCAATCTCCTGGCTCCGCCAATTGGGGTTTGGCCAGGAGACGTCATAGACGCCTGGCCCCCCGGGGCCTCCGGCACAAGCTTAGTTGTTACATATTTCAGTTTAATTCGTAGTTTCGTGGTAATTAATTGAAGGTGGAGGGGTTACCAGCCCCTCGCACCCGTCCAGAGCCCCCGTTTAGCCCCTGTGGTGGACACATATGCCATGAGGGGAGGAGCCAATCAAAATTGGATCTCCCCCCACAGCGCTGTCCACGACAGAGTTGCCCGTCCGGCACCGCGAGGAGGTAGGGGGTTGTTTTGCCGGACCCTGTACCAACACACACTCGCAGACATACCTCCTCTCAAACACAGGTTCATTACGACGTCACCTCTTTCATGCGTATCCCCCGCACTGTTTGTAAACAACGTGAAGGGTTCTTTCTTTCACAAGGCCTTCCTAGAAACTCTGCGCGCGCCGGACATCTGGCGGCGTTCGTCGCCGTGAAAATCCCAGAAAAGATTAATTTCGGACGCAGCAAATGCGCTGCGGTTATAAACATCTCGGGCAAGGTACACGGGTCAGGTGGAACAAAAGACACGGCTGAGCCCCCGGTGCCGGGCGGCGGCTGAGCGGCACCTTTTGGCGTGTTAAGCCCCAGGCCCCGCCAGCGAGTCTGCGGGCTGGCTTAACGCAGCGCACGCCAACGCGATTCCCTCCTGAACGTGAGAGGTCACGTCAACGCGTTCGCTTCACAACATCGCCGCGCTCACTCTCTCTGGCTCAGTCTCTCTCTCGCTCTTCGAGCCTCCTCACTCCGAGCCGTCGCTGGCACGCGCGTGGAGGGGAACCGCGACACCGACGCGGGCGAGTCGACTTCTCAAATTGGTCTCACTCGGACCAAGGGAAGAACGTCGCACGGTTATAAGTTACGCGGCTTATATTTCGTGCGCGACGATTCTAGAGGTGATTTCTCGAAAAGTTATCTCATGAATTGTTTCGATTGCGGTGTGGCCGAGGTTGGTGGTGGTGGGGGTGGTGGTGGTGGGGGTGGTGGTGGGGGTGGTGGGGGTGGTGGTGGGGGTTTCGGCGTTGGCAAACGAACTCCGAGCCATGGCAGGCGAACTCCCGTCTCTTCTCCCGTCTCTTCTCTCGTTCGCGTGGGGCGGTGTCGCCACGACAACGCGAGCGTGGCAGATGTCGCTTTTTACCTCCCCCCGTGAAGGGCTTCAGGAGGACCTCGCCGATGAATCATGCTGACCCTATTCCTGCAGTGGGCATGGAGAGGCTGACTTTTATATAATGTACGCACGTACTGTGTGTTGAACTTCTTTCGCGCCGTACGTAGCCAATCGTGCTCGTCGGAGGTGCGGGTTGGGGACAACAAATTAAACACAAAAAGAGGGTTCTTGAGAAATTAGTCTTAAATCTGTTGTTCACATTCAAACATTTGTCTGAGTTTATTTTTCTGCCCGCCGCCGCTGGAAGCAACAAACAACGTTTGTCAATGGCGATGAGATTGTTTATTCATCGGCCAGGCCAGAGATGTAATTGAACAGCCAATGAATTATATCCACCGACTCCACCGTTAAGCGCTTCGTGACTTCCAAAGAGCGAGCGACGCGCAACAATGAATCCTCGGGAGGGGAGGAGGCGCGGCTTGGGTTGAATATCTCACGCGGGAGTGCGGCGGCGCGAACGCGGACGCGAGGACCTCCACCGCCACCACCGCCACCACCGCCGCCACCACTGCCACCACCACCGCCCTCCCCCCACTGCGTAGACGCGAGGAGGAGCGCGAGACGCGTCCGTGTCACACGAGCGCCGCTCTCGACGCGTGATTTACGGCGCGGTGGCTCCACACAGGCTGGGGCCCCGCGCGTCGCGTTATTTATCAGCAGGTGCTCGCCAGACAAGCCAAGCCCGGGTGCTCCCCCCCCCTCCCTCCTCCTCCGTCCCCCCACGGGGCAACTGCACCGCGACAGTCAAAATAACAAGATAATATCCTCGACCCGCGAGCAGGATTCGCCGCCGCCGCCGCAGCAGCAGCCTGCGAGGTGGTTCCCGCGGTGGAAATCCCCATCGTGCCTCTGCAATAACACAATGGAGAAAGTTTTGTTAATCCCCCCCCCACCACTCACTGCCTCTGTCCACCCAGCCGTATAAATGGGTGGCACCGCAGAGAGTTGATCGCAAAGGTCGCGACTGGTGGAGTAAAGTCGGCCGAGGTGCTGTCGAGCGTGGCTTTTACAGAACTCCCCGTTGGCGAGAGCCCTCATGTCCGACGCGACGGCGAGCGAGCGAGCCGTTGCGCGGCTGCATCTTCCACATCGTAACCCCTGCGACGAGAGAGAAGAAATACAAATACGCGCCGAGGCGCACGAGGGATTCTGGACCTTAAGATGCTCTTCCTTCTCGGATGAACGTCCAGGGGGCGGCGTGGGGGGGGGGGAATCATCCTTCGTGTCGAGAGGCGCTCCCAGGGTCCGCTGCGATGCGCTCACGATTCTCGCCACTCGAACGCCGCGGGTGACGCAACTGCGCTGGTGTGGCAGAACAAAACGGGAATTCAACTCAAGTTGGCACTTTGAGACGACGCGCTATTGTAACAGCAATAGGCTCATGAATGCACAAGTGCTTTAATCCTTTATTACAATCGACTTATGCATAATACATGATGCCGCGTTTATTTATTTTTCACGTTCGCCCCCTCTCTCAAGTGAGCGTAATTCAACCGATGATTGGCTGCTCGTTTACCTGTGACTTGGCCACCGAGTTTACATTCACAACGCCCATTCCACGGAACTTACTGAGCTCCGGGAACCAACGCAGTGAAAACTCCGCCAACATTTTGTGCTGCTTGCGAGAGGGAGGTTCGGGATTTGGATGAACAAAACACGCCCCGTACTTACCCTACACCTACACCACTTACCCTACACCTACACCACTTACTCCACACCTACACCACTTACCCTACACCTACACCACTCACCCTACACCTACACCACTTACCCTACACCTACACCACTTACCCTACACCACTTACCCTACACCTACACCACTTACCCTACACCTACACCACTTACCCTACACCACTTACCCTACACCTACACCACTTACTCCACACCTACACCACTTACTCCACACCTACACCACTTACTCTACACCTACACCACTTACCCTACACCTACACCACTTACCCTACACCACTTACCCTACACCTACACCACTTACCCTACACCTACACCACTTACCCTACACCTACACCACTTACCCTACACCACTTACCCTACACCACTTACCCTACACCTACACCACTTACCCTACACCTACACCACTTACCCTACACCTACACCACTTACCCTACACCACTTACCCTACACCTACACCACTTACCCTACACCTACACCACTTACTCCACACCTACACCACTTACCCTACACCTACCCCACTTACCCTACACCACTTACCCTACACCTACACCACTTACCCTACACCTACACAACTTACCCTACACCTACACCACTTACCCCACACCTACACCACTTACCCTACACCTACGCCACTTACCCTACACCTACACCACTTACCCTACACCTACACCACTTACCCTACCCCTACACCACTTACCCTACACCTACACCACTTAACCTACACCTACACCACTTACCCTACACCTACACCACTTACCCTACACCACTTACCCTACACCTACACCACTTACCCTACACCTACACCACTTACCCTACACCACTTACCCTACACCTACACCACTTACCCTACACCACTTACCCTACACCTACACCACTTACTCCACACCTACACCACTTACCCTACACCTACACCACTTACCCTACACCACTTACCCTACACCTACACCACTTACCCTACACCTACACCACTTACTCCACACCTACACCACTTACCCTACACCTACACCACTTACCCTACACCACTCACCCTACACCTACACCACTTACCCTACACCACTTACCCTACCCCTACACCACTTACCCTACACCTACACCACTTAACCTACACCTACACCACTTACCCTACACCTACACCACTTACCCTACACCACTTACCCTACACCACTTACCATACACCTACACCACTTACCCTACACCACTTACCCTACACCTACACCACTTACCCTACACCTACACCACTTACCCAACACCTACACCACTTACCCTACACCTACACCACTTACCCAACACCTACACCACTTACCCTACACCACTTACCCTACACCTACACCACTTACCCTACACCACTTACCTTACACCTACACCACTTACCCTACACCACTTACCCTACACCTACACCACTTACTCCACACCTACACCACTTACCCTACACCACTTACCCTACACCACTTACCCTACACCTACACCACTTACCCTACACCTACACCACTTACTCTACACCTACACCACTTACCCTACACCTACACCACTTATTCTACACCTACACCACTTACCCTACACCTACACCACTTACCCTACACCTACACCACTTACCCTACACCACTTACCCTACACCTACACCACTTACCCTACACCTACACCACTTACTCTACACCTACACCACTTACCCTACACCTACACCACTTACCCTACACCCACACCACTTACCCTACACCTACACCACTTACCCTACACCTACACCACTTACCCTACACCACTTACTCTACACCTACACTACTTACCCTACACCTACACCACTTACCCTACACCTACACCACTTACCCTACACCTACACCACTTACCCTACACCTACACCACTTACCCTACACCACTTACCCTACACCTACACCACTTACCCTACACCTACACCACTTACCCTACACCACTTACTCTACACCACTTACCCTACACCTACACCACTTACCCTACACCTACACCACTTACCCTACACCACTTACCCTACACCACTTACCCTACACCTACACCACTTACCCTACACCTACACCACTTACCCCACACCTACACCACTTACCCTACACCTACACCACTTACCCTACACCACTTACCCTACACCTACACCACTTACCCTACACCTACACCATTTACCCTACACCACTTACCCTACACCTACACCACTTACCCTACACCACTTACCCTACACCTACACCACTTACCCTACACCTACACCACTTAGCCACCACCTTCAACACTTATCCGGCAAGCACGTAAATTTTTCGCATTAAACTTTTTTTTCTTAAAAACAACTTCCCGAAACTGCGTTTTTCATTTGGAATAACGCTTAGGGAAAGATTTCGTGTTGACTCGGTGGAGTGAGACTGCGTTTTTCATTTGGAATAACGCTTAGGGAAAGATTTCGTGTTGACTCGGTGGAGTGAGACGAGTCGCTTGAGAATCGAATCGCAGATGCGCAATCCGACCGACCCCTAGACCGCCGCGGGGAGGGGGGGGGCGGCGGTGACGAAGCAAAACATTTTTTTCTCATTCCGAGGAAGTCTCCGTCACGTCGCTGTCGCTCGAACCCCGCAAGCTTCAGCCACTCTCGGACACAGACGTAGCGAGATGGATCTCCGCACCAAATCCCAGGGGCTTTACGGCGCGATGCTGTACCAGTGTAAGATGAGGCGCCGCAGATTAGACAGGTCACAACACAGCCGCGGCTCGCTCTCTCGACCACGGCAGCCTGGGGATTGAGGTTTTGGCTGTTAACTAAAGTGGAAGGGCTTGGGGCTTTGCGTGGGCTCCGCGGCGGTGGTTATCAGGCTGGGCGCCGCGGTGTCTGCTGTGCGCGCGTGCGTGAGGAGCGGTGGCGTAGCGGTTAGCGCACTGCGCGACCAAACCCCGGAGTTCGATTCCCGCTCACGGCCAACGCCAGTGACGATTTACCTGAACCGGTGGTGGGCCTCCCCTGGGTCGACTCAGCCTAAAATGAGTTCCTTGGTGCGGTGTGTAAAAGCCTCGGCACGAGGGAGACAAGGGCTGGCCATCCACCCCCTCGTGTGTCCCGTGCTGGACAGCGCCGTCACGGCCACCAGCTGTGTGGTTGTGAAATTGCCCCCCCCCTCGCCAATCAATTCCGTGCAATGGAAGGGAAATCTTCCTAAACCGTCCATTTAGCGACCACTCGATTGGGAATCGCGAGACGTGAGCAGGGGGTTGGGAGGGATTAATCGAAGGCCCTTGACATTAATTGCACCGTCGATGTTGAATTCGTTTTTTTTTTACGCGAGCTTATTGTCGCATTTACGGCCTAAGCTTTGCACTACAATTCAGTGCTGTTAACGTGCTTTGTAAAGTTCATACGTCTACTATAAATAACTTGGCGTTTTTTTTCCGTCCAAGAAGGGTAGAGAAATGATGTTTTACACATTGCCGTCACTGAGAGGGAGCCGGTGTGCCGTAGCATTCGCAGATATCGACGCGCCAGGTCAGAGGCTGCCCTAACGAATGCTTGGTCTAAAACCTGCCTTAACTGAGGTCGTTTTTGTTTATCGCATCCACGATTGTTTGAGACGATAACAAGATGATGAAGGCAAGAGAATACGGAACCGTTTTATTCGTATTCATTGTGTTTTTTCGTCAAATTAAGTCACGGGATATATATATAGTTGTTAGAATGATGACAATCGAAGGGGGTAAACCTGTACAATTTTACCAACAAACATTGTTTTATCTAGTCTATAAGCAGAGGCTGAAAATGCATTCCTTTAGCATGAGCGCTGTTTATAGCAGTTAATGATTTTGGGCTGGAGTATTTTGAGCCTGCGATGTGTGTGTGAGTAATGTAGCGATTCGCGCACTGCGCTGCTACCTTGGTGATCCGGGTTCGATTCCCGCTCACGGCCAGCACCAGTGACGATTATCTGAACCGGTTTTAGGCCTGCCCTAGGTCAAATTAGTATCTGGTGCGGTGTATACACATCATCACTGGGGAGACAAAGGCGTTCGGGCGTGGTGTTGGCCACCCACCCCCTCGTGTGCCGTGCCGGCCTGCATAGGTGCCCGCTAACAGCACTTGCCCCAACAGTCTGTTAAGACTATACGGTGGATCTTTGTCTTTATGCAATGCGTGCTATTAGGTATATGTGTGCTGTAGTTGTATATTTTTGTAAGTATGTATCGAATGATATTGTGTGCGTGCATGTATGCGTGCATGTATGCGTGCATGCGTTGTATTTCGACGAGAAAATACTCCGTGAGAAGTGAACAGCGGTTGTCCTGTCAATATACTAGCCCCCACTTTTGGAATGTGGAATTTCCACCACTTGCCCCATGGCTGCCAATGGAGACGAGCGCCTTGCAGTGCTCATGTGAGTCTTGTCGGTACAGTCCCGCAGACCGCAGCTTGCCACCTGGCACTGCGGACTGCATACCAGGCTCGCCTCGACTACGCAGGGCTTAGCGCCTCTCGCTGACTTCCTTCCCAGTAGACTGGTGTAGGTGGCACGTGACTTGTAGCTCACGGACATCGCGAGTAGTATACACAGAATGCGGTTTGCTGGGTACGGAGATATTTTCCGGCTCGTGGACTAGGCCAAAATAAGGCAACTGCCTCTTCGGCTAGCAAGGGCCCAGAGTTTGCAATGTTTACTGTATTATTTTTGGGGGAGCCACGGTGGCGAGATGTTAACTACCTTGCCTGGTATACAGGAGGTCGTTGGATTGATCCCGACCCTGACGCCTGCTGTATATTTTTTAGTTTGCATTTTCTCCCCGTAGTCGTGTCAATTTTTCTCCGGATCCTCCGGTTTTTCCCTCCAAATTAAAAGAAAACGTGCATTTACATTATTTGGCCGCTATACATTTCCGCATGATAAGCCACTGCGTTGAGCTATCATTTGTGGCCAGGTCACTTCTTAATAAGAGCTACAGTGAGGGAAAAAAAGTATTTGATCCCCTGCTGATTTTGTACGTTTGCCCACTGACAAAGAAATGATCAGTCTATAATTTTAATGGTAGGTTTATTTGAACAGTGAGA